TTATCTTATCTTATCTTATCTTATCTTATCTTATCTTATCTTATCTTATCTTATCTTATGGCTTGACCACATACTTTTGTGCGGTGTCCAGAAGGTTTTTGATGTCGTTCAACAAGGTGCCTTGGTGGTCAGGGCCCGTGACGTAACCGTTGTGGTCAAACACTGGTGTGGTCTCCGCCTGGATATGTACCCACAGACCTGGTGATGTGACGGTGGAAATATCTTTTATACTTCTATAGAAACTCAAAATAAATGTTTACTAATGTGTCTCACGGGCTCATAATATGATCTTATGCAGTTACGAGGGCCGTAAAGCACTTACCCAATGAAAACCCCACAAAAAACCACTATACTCATTTCTTTGCCCCAAGTAATGCCAAAAATAATGATGCAGTGGTTCTTTTAGGCCCTCATTGACCCAATTCAGATCCATTAAGAGGCGAGTTTCAACCACGCCTTGCAGGGCCAACCCGTGCTGAGAGGAATACTGCTGACCACTGTATTGTTTTGTTTTGTTTTCGATGACACAATGCCAAAATAGTTTAGAATTTGAAAATAAAGCACAAAGTGATTTTTTTTTAAAAACAACGTTTTTTAATTGGTAAAATGCACCTTTGCCATCTGATCGGTGCTGGAAAATGGAATTTGAGTTAATTTGTTACAACATACACGATTAAATCAAATGAATAAAAGCGCAATACAATAATCCCTAAACATCAGAACCAACCACTCGACAAAATAGAAAAAGACGGGAAAAGAAAAAAAAATTCCCAAAGACTAAAGACATGGAAAGTACTTACGAATGGAGTTTCCACCAGCATTGTGTACCATCTGAATCTGATTCTCAATTTGACTTTTCACCCTGAGAACGACAACATTAAAAATAGATATAATAGTAATGAAATTGCTATTTTTTAAAGATTGAAATTTCTACCTTTAATCTTTTAGCCATAATATTTTAATCTGACCATGACCAAAACCAAGTACAAAAAATAAGAGAAAAAAAAAAGTATTCTTTAAAATTGTCAATAGTGGAGCTTTCATCATCTTCGCAAGTGCAATATTTCTTAATCACATAGATGGTAATGATAATAATGTATATCATAACATACAGAAGAATATTAAGTCAGCTGATAACTAACACGATCAGCAAGCCAACCTTTTCATGGATTCTGGAGAGGAGGGAGGAACAGAAGTGGCATCGAACAGTCTGCTATGATACATGATATTCTTCAACCAAGTAAGCAAGTAAGTAAGATTATAATATATCTTTGTAATATCTGAAAGAAGAACCCATAAAACATACTTGTCCCACTGGTGGTCCCCAAAGTCATATCCGTAGTATATCCATGGCAGATTTCCTCCTGATAAGAACACTCGCTGGCCGTTGAGCACAAAGTGACCGTTCTGGATGGCAAGCCTCGACTGTGCTAGATGTGGGAAATTTGAAACGTAAATTCCTGTTGTTGTTTTGAGTCTTTTTTCTTTTGTGAGGCTGAATATTTTGATGACGTAAACAATTGTAGAAAGAAAAACAAAAACAAAAGGCGATGCCAGGAATAAAAACAAACTAAAAAAAACAACAAAAAACAAAAAACACGTTTGTGGCGACAGTAGTCTCGTGGTTCGGCTGTTGGGCTCGCAACCGAAAGATTATGGGTTCGAATCCTGTCAGGGTCCCCGACGTCATTTTCTTTGGAACACTTAACTTTTCCTCAATTCGCTTAGATGGGAATGAATACCTGGATTTAGACAGCAAATGATCTTGTTAGTTTGATAGTGCTTGGTCGCTTTCTCGACTGCTAGTACTGTACACGTAAGCTGCACATGTAGCGAAGAAGAATTCTGACTGTTCTAAGGTCTGGTGGGGTAATAATAGTTTGTTATGATGATGATGATGATGGCGATGATGATGATGATGATTGACAGTGTTGAAAAAAAAAGCGTTAAGCCAATACAGTTTCGTAGTTTTCGTGGCGAATGAACGTCATTTTATACGAAATTATCGAAAAGGAGGATTCAAGTACTTTGCTTAACGAAAATCGCTCTTAGTACCTTACTATGTAGTTGCCAATCGATAAGTTAAACCTTATTATTGTGGACGCCGCTTCTTGTCATTCTACAACGCTTGAGGACGCGCGCTGTTTAGGGTCTATTTTTTATGAAGTAAAAAAAAAAAGAAGCGTAACTTCATTATTAGCACATATTTTTATCAACTTTTCTTAATTTAAACTGAAAAGGACATGCCACAGTAAGCTCACTATGTGATACAAATCCGTATTTCTGACCGGTGTACAATGGCTATAAATGTGCCCCAACGTTGCCGTTGGTCACCCGATCGGACTTATTGTTTGTTTGTCTTGTTTTGGTAAGTGTTTTACACCGTTCGCAACTGCTGCACAAGGTCACACTGCACCTCCGAGATTGTCACACTTATCCGAGAAGGCTATGTCTTAGATCTTATCTACCCTAGGAGCAGACGACATAACATGGTTAAAGAGCAGGACAGGAGGTTAAAGGAGATACTTTTAGAGAAAAAAATGTTTTCCGGTTTGTAATATTTCGAACCCGGGACCACTTGAACGAGAGTCAAACACCGTAACATCTAGACCAAAAGAGCCCCCATCGGCTGTATATTGTCGGTTACAGTATTTAAGAGTTTAAAAGTTTATCATATCATCATAAGCTTACCAGTGGCTAAGTATCCGATCAGGAGTGGAAGGACAGCCAACTGGAACATAATATAATCAAACTTTTCATACTTTCGTTGACTTCATTGTGACTCCAAATAATATATTTATTGTTATATTTTGAACCAAAAGCTTTTGATTTATCTGCATATTTTGTCTGTCTGTCTGTCTGTCTGTCTGTCTGTCTGTCTGTCTGTCTGTCTGTCTGTCTGTCTGTCTGTCTGTCTGTCTGTCTGTCTGTCTGTCTGTCTGTCTGTCTGTCTGTCTGTCTGTCTTGCGATCACACAGATACACACACACACACACACACACACACACACACACACACACACACACACACACACACACACACACACACACACACACACACTCACACACACACACGCACACACACACTCACACACACGCAAACAAACATACGCAAACGTACAAACGCATCATAGTAAGTAAACGATGTGGATAATGTTGACTTTAAAATGAACTAAGATCACTTAAGATTAAATCCATGATTTTCGCAATTTTAAAAGAAATTTGCGCATTCTAGTCATTCGAGAATAAAGGTTAAAACTGGCACTACTAATGAAGCAGATATAGTACGGGGGTGACTCAAATCTCGGATTCAAAACGTTTATTAAAAAGAAGAAAAGAAAATATAAATTTTAAAAAAAAAAAAATTATTTTAAAAAAATAATAATAATAAAAATAATAATAATAATAATTTATTTAATAATAATAATTTATTAATAATAATAATAATAATAATAATAATAATAATAATAATAATAATAATAATATAAATAATAATAATAATAATAATAATAATAGTAATAATAATAATAATAATAATAATAATAATAATAATAATAATAATAATAATAATAATAATAATAATAATAATAATAATAATAATAATAATAATAATAATAATAACAAAATGGGCACAACGTGGGAAAGATAAAAGAGTACCCGAAAATATAACCAAAAGTACAATATTAAGCGTGAATGGTTTTTGGATGCTTTGCTCTTTTCTTATCAAACATCTATTGTCATTATTCCTTTTTCTCCCCAATTTTTTCTTTGCGTATTTTTCTTCAGTTACAATTCTAATTCTTGGCAATGATATGACCTATTTGTGTTGCTATTGCTGTAAAAATCTCTTAATAATAATTTCTAAAAAATAAATAAATAGCATTTGTTTAGCACATACCCCCGCTAGCCAGAAGGCTCTGTGCCCTTAAAACTCTTAAAACTATACAGTATTTAACTTGAACGAAAACTCAGTAAAGTTACCATTATGGTGCCGGCAAGATGGGCTGGTCAGTGTGTGCTTACGTCTGCCACTGGAGAAATGACCCGAGACATCCACAAAGACTTCTCTTGGCCTGATAGATCGGACATTCTTATCTTTCTATCAAGGTCATCGTCTCGTCACAAATCAGCCTTGGACATTAATGTATTAACTAATAAATAGCGTATCGGAGACATATTAAATGCAGGGTCAGCAACAGACCAAATGGCAATGTTCTGAAAGGTTTTAATACTTCTGACAACATTTTAAAAACACAAAAAAACAACATCAAAAAAGCAAATTTTCATATTTCATACGTAGTGGCCTGAGACGCTTGTCAGCATAATGAAACTGAATAATCAGACATTTTCCACCTATTCGATAATATTTCTGAATTATTTTCTGCTCATTATCTTTTGATTGGATTTTACTGAAAAACGTTCATCAAAGGCACAAAAGCATAAAAAGATGAATTTGCAATTTTAAAAGACCCTCAAGCTTTGGAGGTCACTAAAATTTGGCAGCAATTTTCTCGCTTATTTTACCTCTGACATCAGGGGCTTCACTTTCTTCAAAAGAAAAAAAAAAAACCTTCTATTTAAGATAAACAAAAAAACACTTTAAAATGATACCAATAACTCCATCAGCGATCTGCCCAATCACTGAAAAGCGCCTGATTCCACCTTGCTGTGACGCATAATAATCATAATGTGCATGTTATTACATGCCCTTAAAAGTTTCAAATGACGAAAACAATTTATTGTTAAAAATCTATTAGAAAAAAGTAATTGCACTTAATTTGAAAGTGTTACAAAAGACAAAAACAAGACAAGCAAAAAATCAAAACAAAAAAAAATAGAAACAACAACAACCAAAACCACAACAAAAATTTAAACAATAACAACAAATAAAACAAAACGAAAAAACAACAACGGAAACACAAAACAACAACAGCAACAACAACAGCAACAACAACAGCAAGAGAAAAAACAACAGGAGCAGCAACAGAAAGAGAAACAACAACAGTGACTACAACAGAAAGAGAAACAACAACAGCAACAACAACAGCTCGTCTTTAAGTATTGAGAAGGACAAAATGGTACGCTATCAATGAGTTAAGTAACTTTGATTTGAATTTCAGCTGGTGTTGCGAAAGGCCTCTGTTACTGTAAAATCTTATTGCGTTACTGGACACATAACCGGCGCCTCTGGTGTTTCAGTTAAGCCAGTTGTTGCTTTTTACCACCATGAGAGGGCAACGGGCATTGGAATAGTGGGTTAACGTAATACCCCACCTTGAAATACCGAGTATTTCTGTTATAGGAATAGCAATATTCAGTGGCGAAGCGTCTATATAATCAAATAATCACTGCTTCCCTTCCTAATTTTAAAACATTGTCGCAGTCAAATTCACCCATAGACGTAAACCTCATAAATTTAATGTAAAAAGACGTTCATAATCACCAATGAACAATAGACTATGCCTAACCTTCAAAACCGTTTCATTGCCACAGAAATAGCCTGTTCGCACCTATCGGGCCACTTTATAAGCACCCAGACGCGCTGATTATCTAAGCGAACTATTACACTGGTCGAGTCTACCTCACAGATGTGAGGGGAACTAATCCTTTGACTCCTGCTACTACACTGCTAGTGCTTGGTTTTTTCCTCGACTTTTTAACGTCCTATAATCAGATCGTGACCTCGATTATGACAGCGGCTCCTGGTCGCGAAAAGCTAGACAAAAAACAGCCAAATGTGAAATAAAAAAATTGATAGTTGGCGTGCTCTACCAAAGTGTTTCGGCTGTCTGGTATAACATGCCATTGTAGTGCTAACATCTGTGCTTCTTTCCTTGGTGTTCGTGTGTTCAAATCTAAAGTTAAACTTAAGGTTAGTTAGAATAAATATGAAATACTTTCCCGATTATTTTAGCTGTTGAACAAGCATACAACATGAATTCAGGATTTGTTTTCATTCACAACTCAGAGTTGCCGCCTCCAGTGCCAGTAAGATTCTTGTGACTTGTGTGAGTGTGATATCCCCAGGCCCTATCTGGTCCCATTTCACTTTGATTACCCTGTCAAACAAGTCATCCTTCGCCCCTGGCAATATTTTTTCCTTATGTTTCTTTTTTTTCTTTTGTTACAGGTAGCCTAAATGTAATGTGCGTGGTATTATCAGGGGCGGATATATTTTTTATCGAAGTATCAAACTTGGGTCTTACACAACTAGAGCTCTGTAAACTGTGTGTACAAGAATGATGGTCTTGAAGTTACATGTTTTGCTTATTTTGTTATTGTCACCATAAATAAATAAAGACCTTTCTGAAAAAAGAGGGTGGTTGGCGAGTGCTCTGGTATCGTTTGCTTCTTCTTTCCTACCTAATACATTGTATATATTATCGTCTTTTTCTCCCCTCCTTTCTTTTGTAACTCTCTAATCTTCGGTACTTATATGACCTTATTGTGTTGCAAGTGCTGTATAACACTTGCTAAAAAAAACCCAGCAACAATAAAAACAAGTTAATTTCCTGAATTACGGTACTGTTTCTCACTGAAGTTAGGATTAACATCAACAATATAAAACGACAACACATTGAGGTCGACTTCTAAATCACCCAAGTGGTTGTGAGTTACTGTTTCGATTTATGCTGTATTTTGAGAGGCTTTGCTCCACTGTCAAGATCCATGGAAGGTTTGAATAAAAAAAGACAAAGCATCCTTTCACATCCTATCCTGCTCTCTAACAATGTTCTGTCATCTGCTTTTGTCTCCACTTTCTTGCCCCACACCCTTACCTCCTTTGCCCCCTCCTCTGGGCCGCTCCCTCTTTTTTCAGCCTTTCTACTTCTTCTTCTTGGCTACTTCTTACTGCTGTCTTTCAGTCCCACCCCTGATCTTATGCTAGGTAAGATCTACACCTAGCCTTTTCGGACAATGGAGAACAATCTCAGAGGTCCTAGGTGCAAGTTGTGCACACTAAAGATCCCTCGGTGTTCCAAAATCGGTAAGAATAGGCTTCGGCCGACACAACGGGCAAAATTCAAAATTTCCTACCAACTGAAATTGTTTGGTGTGTACTGGGCGCTCATATGACCTTATGCAGTTACGAGCGCCGTAAAATACTAATTACCAAAATAGCAAAAAAAGTGAACGCCTCAAGAATTCGTTTACCACAAAAAAAGGCGCATTTTGTGTGCGTGAGTGAGTTGAGGGCGGGGGTGGAGAGGGTG